TTATTTATTTAAGAATTATTCGTATGTGAACAATGATCTGACCCATTTACAAAGAAGTTCATACTTGATACTTCCATGCTTCTATATCTCTTTATGCGCTCATAGACGAGGCACGGTATCCGGTCCGGTTTTCAACACAGTAGATTGTTCGATTTTTATCTACTGTATCGATAATCCCGCACCTTGCGCGACACTGATACTGTACTCCGTCTTTTCGCACCTTTTGAGGTTTGGGTGGTTGAATGGGAACAAGTTGCTATTTAAAACCTTGAGATTTTAGAGTCCCTAGTCACTGATACATTTAAGTCTACTGGTAGAAGTTAGTAGTTTTAAGCTTTTAACTGATATAAGTCAAACCAAATCTCATTACAAACAATCAAACATTGATACAATCATTAGTATTATAGAACAACTAATCACGACAACATCTAACTATTTCTACAGACAAATTCTGATGAAGAGTATTACAACTTCTAGTATTATGCCCGAAACTTGTCTTCCATTGGCTAATGCTCTGTCTTTATATGGAATCGGGAGGTCGCGTGCCTCTGGGTTTATTCTTCTAGCACGCGGATTGGATGAATTACATATAAGGCTTGTGCTCTCTACTAGTATTGGATTACTGTTTTCTGACAGGATTTTTACATATTGGTAATACCTGGCTCAATACAATCTATGGCTGCCACACTTGTCTAAGAGAGAGCTTACAGACTGGACTTATAATAAGGTTTATGGGAATAGGAATAATTCTTTTGTAGATAGGTAAATATAACTTTTCTATCAAAATTTTATCATTTTGTCCCAACTTTGAATCGGTTGCAATATTTTCTTATCCACTGGTTATATCTGTCAGGTAATATTTCCAGTTTGTTTACTTTTTAAAACTCATCTTTAAGTGAACCGGAAGACCTCCATTTTGAAAAGTGTGCGCGGTCATCTGACAGGTGTAAATACGGAACAATACGAGTGTATATTTATTTAACTGAACTCTTCCAGAAATCGCGTTTTATGTTAACTTTTTTTTATTCTATTGATAGATAAAAAAAAATTGATACGCAAGAAACCTAGAACTTTCCAAAACGAAAATAATTATTGGACTTAAAAAAAAATGATTCCAATAAGAGTATTTGCGGTTCAATTAGATCTTTTTAAGATTATTATATACGCTACCCTATCATGCGATTGAATTGAAGACGTGTTTATAATGACATGCCAAATATCAATGCCAAACAGACAGAACAGTGCAAGAACAGGTGTTTAAACTTATTATTAACTCCATATCGGACCTGCTTAAACATACAATTTGAATATTGATAATTAGATTATACACTTTGTTGCTACTTATATTCAAACTGCTGCATTATAATCCAATTCAGGTAGATAAGTTTTCGATCAAAGAACAGAATACTTAAGTTATACTATTCAGTTACAAAGTTTGGTGAGCATAAGAACTATTATGGACTTGTACTATGATACAATTTTGAGTACTAGTTTGAAAATATTCATATTTTGAGTGTTTCATATTGACTTAATAAATATAACAGACACAATGGAGGCTAAAATTTTGGACAAATTGGAACATGGACAAGTATTCTAGAAGTTTATTTATATCAATTATGTTTACAAAGCTATCCTACAAACTGGCCAGTGTGGGTTTTTGACTGTATCAAAAATAAAACTTGCTCTAAATGAACATTAACATGGAATGGCATCATTTTTATTAAATATAAGCCTAAAAAAAAACAATACACTATATCCGAAATAACATGCCATAAATGAGGTAATAATTAAAGGGATTGTAAATAGTTTTTCTAAACTTTTAAAGATAATAATAGCATTGATTTGCACTATTCCAATATTCTGTCAGATATCTGTGGTTCTTGCAATTTCTACACAACTAAGCATTTTATGACATCACTAACCTAGGCCTTTTTCTAAAATAACATCATAAAATGCATGAACATGTCTGAAAATGAGAATGATGTAAATTGATACCATGAAAAGATTAGAAAACCTCCTTACAACCCCTTTAAATGTAACCATTAATCAAAGCATGAAATGCAATCAAGGCACATTAATCTTCAAAATATTTCAGAATAAAACACCCAGGAAATAAAAAGATAAACCAATATGACCCAAGATCTGAAACACTCCAAACTTTAGACATACCAAAATGTGATGAGACATTTCGGTATTCTTTACTTTGGAATTCATTCAACAAACTGTTAAAACATTCATCTTATTGTTAAAAACAAATCTTAAAACTTTATTCTTCTTTTTGAGCAAATTTTTGGTTCTTCTAATGGTTCATGATCATCCTACAGTACTGTCCTAAAAAGTTAACTTTATTTTGTATTGACTTGTGATTTTTTCTTTGTCTTCATGAGTTTTTCTTTGTCTTCATTTTTAAGATTGATTTATTGAGTTATAGTACTGGTAGTGATTATTGTTTTTTCCTGTTTTTTTATTTATTTCAGTTTCTTTTTATACACCCACATTATAATGTGGACGTATATTGTCGTCACCCATGTCCATCCGTCTGTCCACAATTGCCTGATTCGAATGATATATTGATGAGATCTTGGACAAGTTCAATATTCACGATTTTTCGATGAATGGTTTTTGAGTTATTGCCCTTGACTTAGCCAAAACGAGTCAAAATTGGCTTGTGAATGTGATAGAGACTACAGTTTTCATCTGATTTGAATGAAATTTGATGTGATCATTTATATTGATGAGATCTTGGACAAGTTCGATAGTTGCGTGAACGGTTTTTGAGTTATTGGCCTTGACTTATGAAAAACGCGTCAAAATTTGTTTGTGAACAGAATAGAGACTACAATTTTCATCCAATTTTAATGAAATTTGGTGTGAATATTTATAATGATGAGATCTTGGTCAAGTTGGCTATATTTCGATGAATGGTTTTTGGTTATTGTCCTTGATTTATGAAAATAGAGAGTACAGTTTTCATCCGATTTAAATGAAATTTGGTATGATCATTTATAATGATGAGATCTTAGTCAGGATTGAATTTGACAATTTTTAGATAAATAGAATTTGAGTTATTGCCCAGGACTTAGTATAAACTCATCAAAATTTGTTGGCGATAGAGATGACAGTTTATATCAGAATTTTATTAAATAATGTGTCTTTGTTTAAATCAACAATATCTTGCACAAATTAGATTTTTGGTATGATTTGACACAGATAGGTGACTGCCCTTGATATACTGAAAATGTATGAGGAAAGTGGCGTATCTTGCTAGGCAACCACTTGTTTAAGTTTTTATTACATTTCTGAAATTGTATTTCAATAGCAATATCAATTTTAGGGTCAATGAGGTTTGTGAATTGGCTTATTTTAATATGTGTTTGTGTGATACCATTAGTTATAAGTTGTTCAAACTTAATGAGTTCTTTGGGGTTCCACAGGCACAAGCACAAGTTTGTACCTAGCTGTGTATGCAAATTCTAAGTCCTTTAATGCTAATGTTAATCCAATTGTTCTCAAATTTCTTTTAAAATGTAAAATTGAAGAATACCAGGTCCTCTAGTCACCCTTTTTTCATTTCGACTTTGTCTCTGCATAATTTCCTGTCAAAGAATTGATTACAGTCAAACCTGTATTAAGCATGTGGTCAAGGGAATGCTCTAAAGTGGCTGCTTACTACAGGGTGATGCTAAGCATCGGTTTGGTGCACACAGAACAGAATGACAAGTTTATAATTTAATAACAAAAACAATAGGCCTAATAACAATTAAAATAGCATTACTGATGTTCAAAATTAAAATGACCCTAAAGGCAAGTCTGTTTTATATTATTTTAATTTTTGATAGCTTCTCATTTTTCTTGGAAGGCTTAGGCATTTTGTATTGAATGTGAAAAGATTTTTTGGTCAATATTTATATCAATATTCAACATGTCTTTAATGAAGTAGAATATTAAAGCTTTTTGCATGATTAAAAAATTAATATCTAAGAGTTATATTCATAAATTATAACCAAAAGGATTTTCTGTTTGGTAGTAATTAATTGTGAGTGTAAGTTATCAGATTAAAGAGGATTATTGACAATTGGCTGCTTATTGGAGGGTCACATGTGTTCAGGGTCAAGAAAATTGAAGTGCTGGCTGTGTCAAAAGGGTGGTGTTGAATAGAGGTAAATTTGATCGAAAATTGCATGGGGGGAATTTTGGATGGCTGTTCATTAGTGGGGTGTGCTAAATACAAGTGACTGTTCGTATAAGTTTGACTGTACCTTTGACCTTTCAAATCCATGTTCAAAATTATCCAAGGTGGAAAGTTTAAAACAGAGTCATCTTTTCTTGAGACACTGCCAAATATAGAATAATAACTCCAGATAATAAGGAGTTAAACAAAATTATGTTACCATGTCAACAGGTTATGAATGTCACACTAGGTCATAAAGTTAGTGTATAATCTACTGTTTAGAATGGTGCAGTTAATATATTCTTACATCTGGAAAATTTCCAAACATTTACAGTCTATTCCCATTCTTTATTACCAAATATAAATGCACAGGACATAAACTCAGAAGCTGACAGGTCTGTGTCAAACAGGTCCAGTCTAAAATGTTACTGTTTTGGGTAATTAATTTTGATATATTATGAAGTAATCATGTTTAAAATTGTTAATATTGGTCACAGTTAATTTATTAAGTTATGAAAACATTTGAACATATAATGAGGCTGGATTGTTCATGCTAATTACCATATTACCCTATTTTGTAAGGCTGTTAACACAATCATAAAAACTATTTTATTTTGTTTATTGTGGCACAGTTATTATCTATGTAGACAATTCCAGTCAATCTCCATTCTCTATAAATTTACTATTAAAATCCTGCTAAAATTTAAAATTTCGATTATTTGGATATTGTGACATAATTCTTTGTATCTACTTGATCAATCATTCTGTAGTGAGCATTTTAAACTATTTTGAACATATCAGCAGAGGAGCTGAAAACCTTGCTCTCAGAATGTCAAGAAGAAAAGAAGAAATCTTCTATAACCACACTAGGGCAAGTCAGAAAAAAGAAGAAATTGGAGAATTAGTTTTGAAAATTGACATTGCTTTTGATCAAATGATAGATGATGATGATTTTGAAACTTCAGAAGCTTGGTTGGTTTGATGTTCTATCTCAGGTCACAACATTACATGTGTTCTGAAGACTAAATTAAACACACATGAGTTAATGTTTTTTCATCTAGAGAAGATGTTTCATATGTTATAAGTTCAGATAGACTAGACAAGAATAGAAGATTATTGTGTTATACAATATTAATAGATACACCTTCTAACATTTCATACTAAAAATAAACCTGACCTTCACAACTCAGTTTATTACAGGGCGGCCTGCTTTTTTTGTTATGATTTCTCTAAGCATATGTAGATGAAATGGCATATGTTAAGGCATTTTTTATACACCCACATGAAATATGCTATTGACACTCAATTGTCCTACTCTTTTGATTTTGGAATATTTAGGCATGTCTAAGGAAAAGTTTCATTTTTGATTTTGGAACAGCTTCATTCCATAGTGATTACACTGAAATAGTCTATTTTTATGCGCCCACATTGAAATGTGGTGATTCCAATGTGAAGATAAAGGAAATACATGCAGTTAGAAAGGAATCAGTTAGGTTAGTGAGGTTTAAGACATTCACAATTTTCACTCATATGAAAGACAAGAAATTTGGTTCCTAAATGGTTACAGTTGAAAGTTAAGCCTCTTTGTGACAAAACAGAAGTGGAAAATGGACTTCAGTATTACTGAAAACTTCAAGAGATCTTAAGAGTTAAGCAAGAAACCTCTTTAGAAACAAAATGACTAATATTGATAAGAATTTAGAAAGAAGAAGTCTATCTGATGTACACACAACAGAATATTGACATCACTGACACCAACAGAAAATCAATGCCATCACATTGTGAAGACAACCGGACTATTTCATAGAAAGAGAAATGTGCCAGAAGGTTTAAATTGATTAATTCTATAAAAGTATAAATCTTCATTCTGAGTTCAAGTACAATTACTGGTACTATCAGATTCCGAATCTTAACAAAGAAAAAACAAGTTGCAGTGACAATGAATATGAATTTAATGTTAACTTATTCAGATATCTATCATGATAACCAGACATACCGGTAATGTTGATTTATTGATGACAATTAGGCTCAGTCTACTAAAACACCAGAAGAATTACATGGATTTTTGCACAAAGCACCCCATAATGGAAATCTAGCAGTTGTCACCCTAGACATACTTTTACATCGATACCGTTTAGTGATGTACTCAGAATAAGAAAAAATTGTATCAAGAAAGAATTGGAAAACAACTGGTTATTCCAATTTGCTAAACATCTGAGGAGTTCTAGATACCAAAAGAAAAAAAAAATGCCTTTAAAAAAAGCATGATAAAGATCACAACTGCTATTTCCAAAAGAAGATAAAAAGAATATGAAGATTATACTTTGGACCAAATGAGTATTTTCAAGCTTACATTTGAATGTATTTTCAAGATCAATAACTGATACTAAATATTTTTTGATCTTTTTGAACATTTCACAATGATTTGTCAAGTGATAGTAATAATGCGACCTGAATATAATCCCTAGCTTAAGTAGCTTTTCAGCTTTTAGGTGATAATTCTGACACTTACTTATGCATTAAATGCTATATGTATCTCGGTTTTCCAATGAAACATTTTGGATGCATATCTTACGAAGTTTAATGTTGGTTTTTATTGGCTTTGTTTACAAACACTTGTAGTCTTGAATGACCAGAATCCATAGACAGACCATGGTAATACAAGTGAGAGAAATTACATATTAATAGCTAAATATTGTCCAATCAAAATTGATGTCATGAATCAAATTGCCACTCACCATTTGAAATTTGTTTCTTCAGTAGACACTATAAGATATACAGTTTTTATCTGATCCTAATGAAACTTGGTATGCATGTGTATATTAATATGATTGATCTCTCTCAAGTTCAAATTTGGTCATAATTGTAATTTGGGGGGGCAATATCTATACAGTTTTCACGTAACTTTGCATATGCCTACCCGATATTTGATAAAGTCAAGTTTCCAATTTAACAATTGTTTGTTTTATTGCTCTTGACTTATTCAAATTTGTTTTAAAAAAACTACAGTGATTATCCAATATAAAATTTAATAGAAAGTGTACATTGATGAATTATATAATGAATAAAGATAGCTTGCCAGGCAAGGTAATATACAACCACTGACAGCTTTGATTATGAATAAAAATATTTGGCAGTACAGTAACAATCACCAGTTCAATAGGGTTCACCCTTGGGTGATAACAAACACATGAACACTGGGGTTGGATGAAAGAAAAAGAAAATGACAGTAGGAAACAGAAATAGACATTGCATGCTGTCTCATCCACGTGTCAGAAAGTTTTGAAATCTAGCTGTCTTGGTGACTGTAAATTCTACCGCTCCATCCTTCCTTGAAAGACATTTTCGCTGTTTAGCTGACATTAGCACTGTAAGTAAGATTTTATCACCTGTAAGGTAGTGCCTTATCTTATCTCAAGTGATATCTGTTGTCCTGCAATTTTGAACCAGAAGTATATATTATCTTCAATAATGTATTATTGTCTGAGCATATCAAAGCGTTTTTTTAATTTTCGATATTTTTGATCAAATTTTGGCTAAAAATTGTCCTATGGTAATCCTGTCCACAAGTAACTGTGGTTTATATCTTCATCGAAACAATAGTCATTCCAATACAAACAGTACTATTTTTAGGATGCAGTTATAAATCCTATGTAAAAATTATCGGTAATATGTATTAAGACAGTAATTTTTTTTCCTTTTGATCTTTCATCAATATTGGCTTGTGGATAGAAAATATTTGTTTAAATTAACTTTTTCTTTATTAATACAAACAAGTCGGTTTCACTAATTTTCGATTTTAATTTTTTTTCAAAAAACTGTCTGCACTTTACTTGAAAGGAAATAGTTCCTGCCTCGGCCTATGCTTTTTATGAGTTATAATCTCAATTCCTTTGACACCATGACTGTCCCATACAGATGGGAAGGCTTTGGCAAAGAATTGTTCACATTACATCAACTGTGCTGCTGAACACATATTGAAATCAAAGGTGCCTTGTTAAGATATCAAGATATAAAACTTATTAGTAAACACTTTACCAAAAGATCAAATATACTTCTCTGAAATGGAAACAATATTTTTGTCAATATAATACACAAACAGGTTGTATTAATGGTTATGATGGTACTACTGCAAGTCTGCAGTTTCATATGGTATTTAGAACAACTCCAATCACAGTGGATTATGGAGTTAGATTTGGAGTTTTGAATACTTGTTGGTTCTACATTCAGGGTCAAGTCAGGATTTAAGTGAAATATTAATATGAGAAACATTTGAATTTACATCCACTACAACTAAAATATATTATCTTACTAGTTTTTAAACAGTATATAAGATAATATGGAGATGATGTCCATCACCAAAACGAGTTAATGATTAAGGAAAGTGTTTCTGCAGTGTAGTTGATCAAATAAGCATATATCTTGGGTTATATCAGTTTATTTACTTATCTTTTGGCTAATCTACCTACATACTTTCTGCTAAGGTATCACATTTCTTTACCTCTCACTCATCTGATCTCAAATTCTTTACTTGTTGTATTATGTACAAGGTCAGAGAGATATTAGTTGGATTGTAGATAGCATTGGGTAGCTGCCAACTTGAACTTCTAACCAACCAACTAACAAAAATAATTCATGTTGAATAAATTTTTTCTATTTTTTTTTAAAGTAGCTTTACTTTAGGTCTCACTCGCAATTTCTTATATCATCAAAAGACAGATTCTATGTTATACGCTTTTGATGGGTTAAACATAGTGTCATAAGAATGGGACTGAGGCATGTGGTAGTCAACTTGTTAAATAACAATAGAACTGAAAAAAACTTCAACATTGTTATCTAAATGCAGTACGTTTTATATCCATCAATTACTGACACTTTTCATAGCTCTGTCAGTGACCCTGATGTGATGATCGGGGGGGTTCAAGTTAGCACATGCCAAGTCTAAGAGGTTTTCAGGTCTTTCAAAATTTTATGCAAACCCTACTTATTATACCATTCGTTATTCAATACAGAAGCACATCTTGGTCATTACAAGATTAATCTCAAACTGTTTTTGCAATTGATTTCTTAGTCTGTGATTTCATAATATTATATAATCTTATTTTAATTTTATTTTCTAATTGGGCAAATCGATTTACGTTCACCCACAAAACATTGTTTAAAAATTCTCTTTATATCTTGATATTGTCTGACGTTGGGTATTAAAGGATGGTATTTGATGTCAAGTTTTATTATTTAATACACATGAAAATATGGTCAAATATTGTCGTTGCCCCTGTCTACCAGTCCATCAATGGGCATTGGAATCGATAAAATCGTGGTCAAGCTCGAATTGGAGGGTTTTCTGATGGACAGATTTTGAGTTATTGCCCTTGACTTAGTAAAGTGGTGTCCAGATTTGTTTGTGGCTACCATATCCAAGCGATTTTGATGAAACTTGTTGTGAGCATTGGAATTCATAAGATCTCTGTCAAACTTGAATTTAGCTATTTAGCTATATGAACAGACATTGAGTTAGTGCCCTTGACTTAAAAATTGTTTGTGGGCACAATAGAAGCTACAATTTTAATTGGTTTTGATGAAACGTGGTGTGAGCATTGAAATCGATAAGATCTTGGTGATGATTTTCCGAAGAACAATTTTTTGTGTTATTACCCTTGACTGTGTTAAAACATGTAAAAATTTGTTTTTGAGCGTTATGGAAACTACAATTTTCAACCGATTTTGATGAAACTTGGGGTGAGCATTGAAATTGTAAAGATTTTGACTTATTGCTTTTGACTTAAAGTTGATTAGTTTTCTAAGTATTGAATAGAAACTTAACAGATTAAATATGGTTCATGTTGCTCTTTATTGAGTCTAACAAAGCTGCTGTGTGGACGTATGTTTACTTTGTCTAGTAAGCTATCTTACGTTCGAAGAACGCACTGCATTGTTTTGCAAATGACTTTTAGTACTGACTTCTATAGTAAATTCACAGTGTCTATAATCTACCAACGGTAGATCTCAAGATCTAATGATTGTAAACACTTGAAATTTTGAACATTATTTAACAATGTACTCCTCATCACAGACGACATAAAATTTTTGAAGTGGGCGTGGCACTCAAATGCATTCAAAAAATAATCTGCTATGGAAAAGATAGCTTGCCCACTGGCAGGTTTGATGTTGAAATATTTGGCAGTACAGTAACAATTACCAGTATGAAATATTCAACCTTCAGATATATACTTCTTTTAAACTTTTTTGGATGATACTGAATAATATTATAAAGTTTTGTCAAAATCCGTCAAAAATTGAGCCTTCTAGAGTTTTTGCAGTCTAAAATCTAAAACTCCTCCTGGAGTCCAAATTCCAAACCTGGGTTGTTTTAACCCCCCTGGGGTGTGGGACTAGGGTGAAGGACAAAAATTGTTTTGAAATATCTTCGAAGAGAGTACCTCACATCATCACATACTGAAAATGTGAATGAAACAAATTTTTGGGGGTGTGAAAGGTCGAGGTGATTGCTCCTGGGGTATGAAGGCTGAGAAAAGTTGGGATCTCTGTCCTAGAGTGTTTATGAGCAAGGCCAGACATGGGTGATGCCAACATGCGAACCCCATTTCATGTGTTCATTAAAATAGAAGACACACAAACCATATCACAAAGTTATTTACTGGTCCATTTTTAGTTGATCCAAATAATGTGGATACTCTATAGCACAACACATGGGTAAACATTCAAAAAATAATCTGCTAGAGAAAAAACTAAGTAGTCCTAAAGTCCAACATGTTTCAAGAGCACAAAAGCTCCCTTCCTCAGGGACAGACACACATGAAATGTCAGTTGAAATTCAATGAAGTTCATTTTCCTTAGCTTAGGCTATTGAAAGATCACCATTTTATGAAGCCATATTGGATTCCTACCATGAGAAGAATGTTGGAATGTTACTTAACAATTACAAAAAAAGTTAAAAACTTTGTGAAATGGTTTGTGTGTCTTCTATTTTATTTAACACTTTCTTAAACATTTGAACCCACTGCATATTCCTTAGCTAAGGCAATTGAACGATCATAATTTTATGAATCCATATTGGATCCTACCTCAAATGTATTTTTATCTCCATGCTTAAAATTTTGTGGAATATAAACACTTTTTATAAAGGATGTAGAGGTCTTGCTATTAATTAAATATTTTAAATAAAAGTTATACAGTAGTGTTTTAGAAATAACTTAAATTCTTGAATTGTAATATTAATACTAGTACTAGCCTTTCTTTAACCTCAAATGTATTCTTATATCCATGCACGTCCCTTTGACACACGAGTATATCTGAAAAATATCTTGTCTGGACGAAAAAAACGAGTTGGTATAACACAGACACCATAATATTGAGCGTTTCCCACCTCAGTGACTCTACTTCACTTTGTATATACTTTGTATATTATTTCTTCAATAATGGCTTTTTTTATACTCCTGATATCTTCTTCTATATTTTTGAAATTATCAATACTTGCATTTGCAATATTTATTCCCATGACATAGAGTCTAAATTTTCAAGGTCGCACGAGTAGATTCTCTAAACTAACAGATAATATTTAAAGCTAGGGTTTGCAGTATTCCTTACGAAAATGGATATTTATAAGTTGTTACTATTTTGTTACAAATAGAAGCGGTGTATTTCGAACGTTAAATGATAAAGCATGAGTTTTTGTAAATAGGCCATATCAATGCTGTTCTTCTCTAACCCCCCGAAATGTTGCTGCTATCCACTTCAGTTTAATACCTTATTCAGCACAATCTGTGACTACAATACTATCATTATCATGTTACTGCGGTCTGGTGGAAGATTGGTTAATAATTTTTTAGGGGGAGCTGCATTATTTCCGATGAACTCTTTCTGGAATTGCAGAAACCACAGGCATATGACAAGCAATTGGAATGTCCCAAATAGAAGTCAAAGGTGTCCCCGATACTCAAAAAAAATGCTAGAAACCCTCCTTACAATCCATTTAAGTTTAATTTATAATTGAACATTTTTTTTTATCAACACAAAACAAAGAAAAAACAACGTGAGTGGCCTTTTATATCGTGAGTGGCCTTTTATATCGTTTGCAGATGTAGCTTACTTTCAGTTGAGAATCAATTAGTAACATAGTTGGATTTTCAACATATTGTCACGGACAATAAGAACATGACTAGTTTTCATGTTTTTTTGCATGCTTATAACTGAAACATAGTACACAACACAAGGAAAATTAATTTCTGATATGAAATTTCTGCACAACGAGAAGTTATTGTTGTGTTGCCATTAATCAAGGTATTTTTTGTTATCATCATATTAGATTTTCATTTTTGTAATGTTCTACAGATACATTCTGTTTTATATACGCCCACAGGAAATGAGGGTCATATATTAACGTCACCCATGTCCGTCCACAATTGCTTCTAAACACATTAGAAGACGCAATTCTTGACTGATTATGATGAAACATGGTATGAGTGTTTGTTATTTTGTTATATTTAACGCGTTCACTTTTAGCTTGTAAACACTCTAGAAGGTACAATTATTGACAGATTTTGACGAAACTTGGTGTGAATGTTTGTTATCACCCAAGGATGAACCCTATTGAAAATCAGAAAAATTGAAAAAAAATGTTTAGTATGAGTTATTGTCCTTGTTCTTGAAAAGCTTTCAATATTTACCTGGTAAACACTCTAGAGGGCACAATTTTGACGGATTCTGACAAAATTTGGTGAATTTGTTCATTATCACCCATGGATGAACCCTATTGAAGATCAAAAAATGTTTTATTGGTGTTATTGACCTTGTTCTTGTAAACACTCAATTTTTAGCTTGTAAACACAAAAAGGCATGATTTTTGCTGGATTTTGACAAAACTTGGTAATATTATTCTGTATCGCCCCAAAAAATTCAAAAGAAGTGTATGGCTGAAAGTTGAATATTTCATACTTGTAATTGTTACTGTACTGCCAAATATTTTTATTTAAAATCAAAGCTGCCAGTTGGTGTATGTATGCCTGGCAAGCTATCTATCTAATCAGCTAGTATGATATATTTAAATCAATGGATAACAAAACATCTTATCAGGTGGTGGTAACTCAAAGTCTAGATTATCCAGTAGTCAAAAAATCATAAAGATGTTCAGGTGATTTCTCTTTGCTCTTAAATGTAATAAAATGACTTTGGCATTTTGACAATCATGCTATTACATTACTTTTTTTTAAAACAATCAGATCAGTGTTTGATCTCATTCAAATCTCAATTATATTCTAAGCATGAGTTTTTATCTATTATTCAACATGTAATATGTTCAATGTGTTATTTTTCAGTTTGTTTGACATAATGGGGGTCGGTGATGACATTGCACCACGTTTTACACAGAAGCCATCATTAAAACAAGAAGATAATGGACAACGTTTAGTTTTTCACTGTACACTAGAAGCCTCACCCAAACCAGATATACAATGGTTTCAAGGTACCACTCCAATAACCGGATCAAATCGGATAAAAATGCGTGTCGATCCAGCTGGTGGTGGACAAAGTTTCAATGTGCAAATGGAAATAGTAAATGTGACACAAAATGATGCTGGAACATATAAAGTGGTTGCTAAAAATAGACTTGGTGAAGTTTCTGCTTCCATAAACCTCAATTTTAGTGGTAAGATATCTTATATATATGTCTAATAAATTTTGTCAATCTTATTGACATATCTTTCAAAACATGTTCACATTTTGACATTGATTTTCATATTTTACATATTCAATTCACAAGAATATCGAATTTTGAAAATTTATAGCACACATTTTTGAGTCGAATTTTGAAAATTTGCCTGATTGATTTGAAATTTCTGGTGTTAAAGCAGATCACAGCAGTCAAAAATTTTGCTTCACTTTAACAAAATCAAGGTGCAAATTTCAGGTTGACCCACTTCCGGTGTAATGTATGAATGTCATTGAAATTTATACTATGAGAAACTATTAATATTTTGTATGTCCAGTTTTATGGATGTCACCCAAGGTTGAGTGTGCATCTTTAAAGTGTTAGATGCACTTTCGGATTCATAATGCTGAGTTCCTGAGCTATCCATTGATATACAGCATGTCTATGAAACGTGCATATTTAAAAATTCTATTTGATTTACATATTCATGTTGGTTAATTAAAAGGGAATGCCCTTGTCAGAATAAATAAAATTACTGAGTTTGACATGTCGGTTAAATAATCGTATCCTTTTTCTGTCAGATATGCACTATGTCCAGTGTTTGCGTATAACAATGTTCTGGGTAGATTAAAAGGTGTCATGCAGTAAGTTAAACTTACTGAAATACCCCAGAACCACACCCACGGCTTAATTGACCCACTTTCTTATTTCTTATCCGAATTTCATCAAACTCGAGTATTCGATTTGTGATTTTCAGAAAAATATGGAATTTGTGCAGTGAGCATGCGTATAACCAACTTTCGTATTTCTCATCCAGATTTCACCAAATATGATATCTATCAATTTTGTGATATAGCTATTCTTTCTGACACTGCATAGGTAAATTCTTTCTGAAATATGGCAGGGAAGTAAATTTAACGAAGACAAATACAGTAGTTTTTGGCACAAGTGCTGATTTGACATTATGAGAGGTGGTATTACCAGGGACAATTAGTAGAATGTGTGTCATATTACAAATTCAAATATAGGGTTAAAATTCACTTCAACGATCTGAAGGAATCTCGAAACAGATAATTTATCAGATCAAGCAACAAAGGTATCAAATCTTCTATCAATTTATGCAAATAAAAAAATGAACAGGCTAAATGTTGTATAATGAAATCATGATTGATTACACAGTATTACACAATCCTGTCCACCATACTTTCTGATTACAGAATAGGCACAATGTTCTTCAAACAAATCTCTAAACTCAAGTTCATATGTACACCATGTCTCACTTAAAAATATTATATCATAACTTGATAAATATGAAAGCGATGAATTATTTACAAGGCAAGCCGTGAACATTCCATGAGATTATTGAAAATTGTTCTTTTGTGTACTTGGACCTCGGCTGAATCCCTTTTGTGAGATTAAACTTGGCAGTGAACCCCTATCACAGGCTTTAAACTTATCAAAAGTTTTGTCATACATCAATGCTCTTCTGTTTAAAATCAGTTAATCATAACATAGACTCATTCTGTCATCACTTGATTTGTTTTTAATATTTCCACCCTATGTGATTTTTTCAAAATCTGATGCCCAAACCAGAAGTGATTCCAAAATTTTTATGATGCAGTCTTGTTTGCATTTGCAGTCTTGTCAATATCCTGTAAATTTCAGATCCAATAAATAGCGGCTGAGTCATAATTTTTTTTAAAATCACATTAGATACATTGTTACATGAGCATAGAAAAGAAAAACCCCAAGGGTAAATCAGGTCCACAAATAATATCAACAGCCTTCAAGCCTTGCACAATATGTATTTATGTCACTTCCAGTTATGCCAAAAGGTTGTGTTGTATATTAACTTAAGAAACTAGAAAGTCACACCATTGGAGCTCAATTGATCACAACCAACTGCAAATGAAAATCATATTGTTTCTTTTTCTATTTCAGCTGGTCAACAAAAACAGTAAGTGTTCTTTTTTTTTCTTATTGCTGTTTCATGGACTTTTGAGTTCAAACCTTCTTGCCTTGTTGACATACATATATTTTTGTAATGAGGCCAGGAGCTTATTCCTAAAAAAATGTTATACAAACTTCATAATAGTTTAAAATTCAGAAATATATTTGTGAAAATAGTTTCTGAATTTTCTGGATACGACTGTATTCAAGGACCAAATTGTAATCAAACCAATAAATTAGACATCAAAGTATATTAAAGAAATAATATATAAAAGAAACTGACACACACCAACTTTTGTTCAAAACTTCGTTTTCTCCGAAGCAGACATTTTCTGGTGTAATTAAATCGCAAATTCTGACAATTTGTAAGCATTGTATTACTTCAGTCTTTTCAGAATTTACATTATTGGAATTTCTCTTTACACGCAATGAAGAACATTTATAGTACCATTTCAATTTAATCTTAATAACTCAAATTGATAATTGATATGTTCTCTTCTTGTGACCTTAGCCAGGGATTCTTTATTAGAGTATCTTGTATAATACCTAACACTACAATACAATGCGTTATCAATGTTGTCATACTGCTGTTGACTAAATGGTTTCATTTTTGGACAATGAAGTCTTGGCTCTGGTGTTTTTTTTAGAAAAAAAAAGGAGGTAGGAATATTGGGGCCATCAACCATGCGATGCAGAAATGGGAGTCTGAAGACATTCTCGGATACATCACATTCTAACATATGCAGTCCAAATTGCTCATAAGGTTGTCCCATATGTATAAGTTTGTGTACAACATCATAGTGAAATCACATAGTGTGAGGCCCACTTAAAGCAACTGAGTTATTATTTTCAAGGGTTGTATAGGTATTTAAAGTTTACTATTGACATATTGTGTTAAAATGTATAAAATGACCATTATTACTTCAGACAAAATGGTGTAGCACCTAATTTCATCACTAAACCAATGACCAGACAAGAAAACAACGGAAAAAAACTATATTTTGAATGTCAACTTGCAGCTGACCCAACTCCTCAAATAACATGGTACAGAGATGCTACACCAATAACACAAGGAGGTGATTATTTACATTCAAACTTATTATCAAAGGTTCAGTGTGAGCAAAATTACTTTTCATCTTTTGGAAAAGAAGATGCTCTTTTTCCTGACTTCTGTGTTAAGTTTTTGAAAGATGCCTCTTGTGTGCTTTAATAGATTGTCTTCTACAGGATTTCGTTAACTCTTCATAAACATTGTCATCGGCATTTGGCTCTACAGAAAATATATTTTTTTATTTCATATGGCATTTCAGAAAGATATTTAGAAAAATTGGAATTCAGTTATTATACTACCAAATTTAATGTGGATTGTAGTATATGAGCACAAAAATTGTAATTCTGGAAAATTTAAAATCAAAGTAGAAAAAGACTTTCCTTGATACATACCTTGAAATCTTTTAAGGTTTTTATGATGATTAACACATTATATTGTGCACGTGAATTTGTAAATCTGTTTTAGGTCGTTTTAAGATAAAAGCAGAAAGTAAAGAACCCAAAAAATATTTCCTTACGTTGGAAATAACAGATGTCAATGCCCAAGATGCTGGTAATTATAAAGTAACTGCTAAAAATGACCTAGGTGAAAGTAATGCAACAATTCGTTTGAATTTTGACAGTAAGTTTTCAATATTTTTTTCTTGTTTTAGTTTGGTATGTAATGTTGTCTTAAAATATGAGTTTTGCATTTACAAAACCAAAACCAATACAGTACTGAAGAGGTGTATTCATTTTAGAATACAAATAGATTCTTCATTTTAAAGCATTTTTATACGCCCACATGCAATGAGCAATGCAGAGGTCCATTTTTAAATGTAAACAATCTTTTCAATGATTTTAGATTTCTATAATTGTACATCATCAATTGTACATTTTCAAATTTTGAAAGATGATACAACGGTGAAATTGATAAAACTATTTATGATAGCTTTGTATATCTGTTGATTATGTTTACATTTACTCTCTTGACTTTCTCAAGATGGTTTTAGAAATTTTAAGATTTTTTATGCTCAAAAAATCTATCTTGAAAAATGAAATAGAAACTTCCAAACAAAAACGTAAATCGTAGGGAAACATTCTTTTTTTACTCAGATACAGAAAAATATTCAACCATTAAGACAGCCTACTAAACTGTATAGGCATGGAAGGACACACTAGTACTTCTAGATCTAATATAACAATATTATGGGGTGTCGTTCTTTATTGAGGGGATCATGATGCAACACAGAGAAAATTTATGAATAGAGTAAATCAATTAGCCATGTTCTAACCGTTCAAAAGAGTAGATAAATGATACTAAACAAGTCATACATACATATGTTTTCTGTTCTTTGTTACGAATAGAAAGATACATTCAAAATATTAGAAAGCGATACTATCTAGATATTTGAAGCCAGTATTTTTGTGAAAAGCAAAAGTCGATTCCTGTATTAACAATTAAGATCTACTTCCTTATCTTAAATTAATTCAAATGACAGTTCTAAAATATACAGTTATTGAAAATATATGAAATTATTTTAGATGATAAAAAGGATGTGGAAGAAAATGGTAATATTTTAAAACAATTCAGCAATTTTCAGAGTGCTATGAATAAATTCAGACATTGAGCATTCAGATTTGACAATTAACAGAGATTTGGTTTATCTTTCTTAATATAAAAATGCATTGTGTTTATGATGTTCAGTTGTGTTTTTTTTTTCATATTTATATTCATTAAAATTTCCATCTCACATCACAAATTACTGCCAAGAAAATATTTCCCCTAGATTGATTATTTCTGAGAATATATGTATATGGTTGAATTAACTTAGCAATATATAATTGAATGTTTCTTAAAGGAAAAGTCAGGTGTAATTATTTGATATCAATATAATACCAAGACAGTACAAATGCAGTCTGTCCAAACATATTTTAATTTTTAAACATAACAAGAAGGTGTCTGAAACTTTATCTAGAAAATAGAGTTACTCAGGATTTATGCAAAAGCTCACACTTCCTTTAAGAATATAGTACATTTATATTTGTCTAATGATATGATTTTAAATGCTTTTACTAATGCAGTTATAAACATTGCATGAAGTCCTGACATAAAATTGCATTTAAAGAGACAGGTTTCCCATCATATTTAAGTCTCAAAACAGGATATTTTTTAGCTTAACTAATCAATAATAGTGTTCATATCTTAGTCATATTTTGGGCCTACAAATCCATGAGTGTTCAGAAATATCCGCAGAAATTATTAGAATTTGAATGTTAAAAAGACCACTTGTCTTTTCTTGAGACTACACTTTTCCAAGTTTGATTTTTTTTGAAGAAATTATGCTTGCATACAATTCCAGTACTTCTGAAGACGATTCACATAATATATAAGACCCAAATCAACCCCTGAAATGGCAAATCTGCCCCTTTATTGGAAAAAAATGTTGTGAGGCATTAGGCGATATTAGTTATTAATAACCTATTTAATAACTAAATACCTGTCTCAATTTTCTTATAAATCATTTCATTTAACACACAAACTCTTTCACCAAATTTTTGCTATAAGATGAAAGTATAACATTTTTTGAAGGTATTTGTTAAATATGTTTTTTATTCAATTAATTGTGTTTTGTTATTTAACATTATAACTAACTTACAGGTACTGATGTGATAGGAAAAGAAAATCAACCGGTATTCATTCAGAAACCAGCTATTAGTCAAGCTGGAGAGAAGATTATTTTAGAATGTAAACTAACAGCAGATCCTAAACCTACAATAACATGGATGTTTAATGATCAAATTATTCAAAAATCTTCTCGTATAAATACAATACACAGAACTTTAGGTGTTACACATACTGTTATACTAGAAATATCTAACGTCACCTTACAAGATGGTGGTGAATATAAATCGCTTGCTAAAAATATACATGGTGAAGCACATGCTACCATATCGCTTAACTTTGAAGGTGGGTTCAATCTACAGAAACTTTAAGAAAGAGTAAGAAACAGATTTTTATTCCAACAGAAAAATTTGTATGAAGAGATATTCCTTATATAACTTATCAAAATAGCTTCATTATAGTTGACATAGTTGATAACAAGATAGTTTTCTTTATACTAACTTAATAATAGAAATAGTAGATTTTAATGGTAACTTTAAATTAAATTGAAAGCCTTTGTGGGTTACATCTACTTATTGTAGTAATTGAAACTAATTAGTTTTATTAAATTCATTTATTTTACTTTTTAGGTTCCAAAAAACCCATGTAAGTATAAGTTCTTTCTAGCAATGAGATGATAGAGATGATAAATCCTTTATGTACACAATAATTGATAATTATTGATAATTGTCAGACAAATGCTCAATATATTTGATACTCAATGAAGAGGAATTATTTGGGGCTAATATTTTTGTTTTTGTTTTACAGTCTTCCTGATGGGAAAGCTCCACATTTCCTTACAAAACCAATGATCAAACAAGAAAAAACTCAGCTATTAATGACCTGTGGGTTAGAGGCTAAGCCTTCACCACAAATTCGGTGGTATCATGATGATAAAGAAATAGGTGGTGGTGGACGTGTAGTAATTACATTAGATAGAAATGCTAGTGGACCTGATATGTATAATGCTGTTCTTAAAATCAAGGTAATGATGAGGAGGTACATCGCAATACAACATACCACAATATGAATATTGTATCGCTTGGTTGTACAATACCAACGCAGCTAAACCTCATCCAAATATAGAAAAAATCCAAACAAGGAGTTTTAATCATGAATGTTTACATTGGAACAATGTTGACAAAAAGTTACTTGTAATAATATTTGGTTATTAGCTGCAAATACACACTTATGATAATAATAATAATAATAACTTTATTCCATAGAATCTCGTAATGAGAAAGAAACTATTTGACAATCAGTTGGACAGTAAGCACATAAATATCAGGCAATCACATTTCTAAGTTAATTCAAATTTCTTCGACAATGATATCAACAAATGAACATAATGAAAATAGGTCTGTTGTCTGAAGATCACATAGCATGAAACTCTGATTAACAACATGATTCAAGTTCTTTTTTAATATTTTCTAGTTTCTGAAGTAGACTTTTTTTTTATTTTGTTTTTTTTAAAGGCTGTTCCCACCAACCATTAACATTCCCTCACATGTATGTTCTGGATATAAAATTAATAAAACAACCTATATTCTCATATTATTGACAAGCATTCAGTCTGAAATTAGTGATGCATCCTGGGGAAACGTTTATAGTTTCTATATGTATTGTGTTCTATCTTGGAAATTGTTGGTTGAATCTATTGTTAAGTTGACTGATACCTTCTTTGGGTTATGTTTTACGAGATATCTATTAAACCATAGCTTGCACTATTGATTTCAGCTACATTAATATATCTTCATACAGTAAAAAAGTTAGTCTTTTCCTTAAACAATGTCTTTTTACTATTTTATCTAGGATCCTAAACCAGAAGATGGTGGTTCATATAAGTGTACAGCCTCAAATGATTTCGGTGAATCGAATGCAAACATCACATTAAATTTCTCAGGTTTGTTTCTTCAATACTTTTTAATACTCAATACGAACTATTGTGCTGTTCTTTTGAAATACATTCAATATTTAGCTTACAAACACTCCTGAAGGATTATGACGAAACTTTTAATGAAAATCAAATCAAATATCATAAAATATTTCACTTGAGTTATTTCCCTTGTTGTCTGAAAGAAATTCATTTTTTAGCTTATAAACACTCTTTAAAGGCACAGTTCTTAATAATCACTATTATTAGAATGAACCAAATTAAATTTCTGGAAAGGGAGGTTTGATTTTCTCAAATGTATGGGGTTAATATGATCGAACAAACACTACAGTGTATAATTGGAATAGGTTGTCTGGATCAGCTGAGTACAGCCCTTTCGTTAGGTATGTAAGGCCCACGGGAGTTTGACCTTGGCAAATGAGAATTGATATATTGTTTTGGTTTAATTTGCGATTAACAAGCTTGTCATTTAATTTCTAGTTTGTATACGCCGTAGCGAATATATACGGCGAATATTGCCGTAGCCCCTGTCCGTTGTTCTGGTATGAACACAATAGAGATTACAGTTTTCATTTGATTTCAATGAAATTTGTTGTTATCATTTATATTGATGAGATCTTTTTCGATTATCGGTTTTGAGTTATTGCCCTTGACTTTGAAAAGAAACATCAAAATTTGTTTTTGAACACAATAGAGATGACAGTTTTCATCTGATTTTAATGAAATTTGTTGTGATCATTTACCTTATATTTCCTAATATAATGCACACCCCTTCCTTACCCTATCAAAATCGTCAAAAATATTGTTCTTGATGATAAAAAAGTGGGTTCTTAGAACTGGATTTTGATTGGACCACCAATATTGAACCAATGGGTTAGATTTCGGGGAAGGGAGGGTTTGATTCTCCCAAATGTACAGGCCTAGGGTGGAGCAGACACTTTATTTAGAAATTAGGATTAAGGGTCTTGATATTGGGTTTTCTTCTGTTCTTATTCTGATCTGAAATTAGAAAAAATAACTCGCCCGATGGGCGAGAAGTATAGTATCTGTTATGTACTGATTGTTTTTAGTTTACTATGAACAATATTATCATTTAAGTTCTTATTTTTTGAATATGCAACTATCATTTTCTGCTTATAGACATGGGGGAATTTCTCTTATAGTGGGCATGAACTATCTTGCTTGCTCGATTGCTGGTTGTATTAAACGGGACAACAAAGGGTGCTATGCCTACATTATGATGAATATTTAGTCCTATAGGTCTTGCTGTATTTAATGTCTCAATCCAATGGGCCTCCCTAGATTGACGGAATTTGGTAGTTTCATCTTCGGGCAAGTCAATTTCTATACGCTCAATTGGGATTAGGGTGAGATCGTCTATTGAATGGTCGTCGAGGTTAAAATGATTAGAAACAGGCTTGTCTTTCTTTAATTTGATGTCTGACCTATGAGCAATAAAGCGAGTTCGTAAATTATTCTTAGTTTCTCCTACATATTGTTTGGGGCATTTCTTGCATGAAATTAAATATATTACATTCGAATGTTCACATGTTAGATGTTCCTGGATCGGGTACCTTTTATTCGTAGAGTTGCTTACAAAATAATGAGTTTCTGATATAAAGGGACATGTTTTGCATCTACTGGACAAACATGGAGCACTTCTTAAACCTGGAGGTACTTCGGCATAAAGTCTGTTTTTAGGTGCTATCTGTGCTAGGTGGAATTTTTTATGTTTCGTAAAAATCGTTTAGAGTACCCACGCTCTTTCAGTTTTGAGAAAACAATCGTACAGGCTTGGTTGAAATCAGAAGATCTTGTACAAATTCGATGAAATCGTAAAACTTGTGACTTAATTATACCAGAAAAGGTATGTTTTGGGTGAAAGGAGCTCTTGTGCAAGAGTTGATGAGTATCAGTTTCTTTGAAATACACTTTAATATCCAGTTTATTTGTTTCTGCTATGGAATCTCCCTTAAAGACTGTGGTATCGAGAAAGTCTAAAAAAGTGGGTCAAATGGACAGAGGGGCAACACCTCACGTTCCCACTCTGCCATGAAAAGGTTTGCGTGCGAAGGGCGAATCGTTTGCCCATTGCTGTCCCTGAAGTTTGTAAATATGCCGTTAAACCAGTAGTGTTATCGATATTGGTATACATAGAAGAAACGTCGATAGAAATTAAAATAGCATTAGAGGGGACTCGAAGATTTTTTATTTTATTGACGAAATCGGTTGTGTCTTTAAGGTAGGCGCGATGTTGGCATGCTAGAGGTAGTAAGAAATGATCAATGTATTCTGACACTACATATGACTCACTACCACAGTCAGATATAATCGGGCGGCCTTTAGGGATTTTATTCGAGATAAACCACTCCTTGGTTGGATTCTTATGGATTTTAGGCAAAGTGTACAAATGTCTCTCGCGACAATCAGGTTTGGCAGACAGATAGTCATATTGTTTCTGTTTGAGATAACTAGTTTTGACTAAATCGGCCTAAGTTAATCATGTTAGCAGTTTCTTTGAAAATTGGTTTCGGTAAAATGGCATAATGTTTAAGATTATTCAGTTGATTCTCTGCTTCTGAAACGTACTCCTCCCTATTCAGAATGACACAACATTAACCTTTGTCACTCTTTTTAATAACAATGCTATCGTCTTTCTTAAGTAAGTTTAACGCTTCACGTTCCACTCGTGTGAGATTAGGCTTTTCGTGTGTTATGGAAAGGTTCACTGTTTGGCTCGCAAATCGCAAATGCTTTCAATATTTCAGGATGGATGGCGGCCTGAGGGGGTGTCCACGTGGATTTAGGAATAAACATTGTTCTAGCACCACGTGGGGGGTGGTTTCAAAAAAATATGTGCAGCTAAGATTTCGTTGAAATCGTTCAATGGATGGTCGGAGATAATTGAAGTTAGCTATCTTTGGTGTGGGAATAAACTTAAGTCGACGGTCTAAGATTGAATGCTGAAGGGGTGTGAGAGTTTTGCGGCTCAAGTTAACTACAGTTTGGCCTAGCGGTGGCCTCTCAGTATTTTTATCCCCAGTAATTAGTTTAAAGACTTACTCGATGCTTGAAGCTGGTGTATCCAAAACAAATAGATGCTGTTTGCTGTTTCTGGAGACCAATGAAGATTATCAACTGTTTCGAATTCTTCTTCGTCGGGTGGTAAGATTGCTGTTGATACTGGACTCCATCATCATGTTGTTGAGAGTGCTGAGGTTCTGTTGTGCTTTCTTCGAGATTTTATTTGAAATGGGTATACATGTGAAGAGGATCTTGGAGTTTGGGAAGGTTTTGTTGGCTGTGGCGATTAATTTCTGGGCTTGGTTAAAGGAGGTCTTTGGTATCTGATCACGGTTGTTGAGGCCTACATGAAGAATAATGGTAGTAAGTTTGGGATCATGGTCGTATGATTCCAGGATTGACTGTATGTGATGGATTTGGGCACCGGGGTAAGAATGCATTTCGGTGTCTGAACTGGTTTTGGTAATTCGATTCAGGTTAGATGATCCAATTATTAAGGTAGATTTCTTTAGAGCAGGTAGCTTCCATAATGATTTGTCCTTGGTTTGGTGATAATACGGTTTGGTAGCGGATATAATGGTCGTCGACGGTGTGATTGGTACTGGTTTGGTAGTTGTTAGAATTGTAGCATTGGGAACGGACTGGGATCTGGTTCGAGGGGGGAAAGTCTGGATACACGTCTCGACTTGGATGGAGACTGAGGGGTGGTTTGCTGGTCCAAAAACGCACAGAAGGAAGAAAGGTTGGCGGATCCTGGATCACGTGGTGAAGATTCAGATGGTGTGGAAGGGGAAGACGAGTCTGAAAGTGAAAAGAGAAGGGGTGTGCCCTCTCTACGAGAGCGTTTACCTATGTCTGCTAGACTGGGAGTAGGTGAACTTTGGGCTCGTTTAGGGGTTTGGTTCGGCAGCGTGGTGGCTCTAGATGGTGCAGGTGTAGTGTCCATTTCAGTCGGTAGAGATATGGTTACTCTGGTTTTTGTTTCGTTGATTGTTTGGTAGAATTTGGAGATTACTGCTTGAGTGAGACGTTTCACATAGGAGCGACGGGCCCAGGACAGGGCATGAGAAACGATGCGGTCGTAAGGCAGGTGATGATAAAGACTTGGTACGAATGGTGGTCAGCTTCTCTTGAAGTGTGGTTTGGTAATGGTCGATCAGGACCTGCATAACCTTACAGAGCCATGTCCGATTGAG